TGCTGGTATATGTAACTTTGTTACTCTGCTCGTATATGAGAATGCATCTAGTAATTCATTTGCTCTTCTTTGCAAATCAGACTTCAAAATTACATTGACCACTTCAGGAGTCAAAACTTACAATGATGATGCATTTTATATAATTTCTTGTATTACCAGTCTTTCATTATTCTTGTCTCCCCCTAAGACTGGGAATACTTTGTCATAAAATTGACAATCAAGTTACTTTGTTGTAAATATATCTCCTGTCAAAAACTCTAAACATTTAACAATAGGCGAGGAGTAATAGCCAATGCCAATACACAGTCATCTACATTATATTGAATGCATTGTAGGGGAGGGGGCATATAAGACACACAATCAAATATTGTCAGAAGGGACAAACTTGTTTCTCATCGAGAGACATCAAGGGTAAGAAATTCAAATTTTGAATATTTGACATTTTATTTATAGGGAAGAATTAATAAAATGAACATGTGTATATATAATACATGTGAAGGAGAACTTCAGGTTCTCATATGTTGGAACTACATGTTCCTTATAATAAGACCATTTTTTTTATGGTTGAGAAAAATATCAAGAATTCACTTCTAACCAAAGTGTTTACAATTGACACATAAAATTCATGATGAGCACTTTATTTGCAAAAATCTTAGTACAATCTTTTTTCTTGAACTTCAGGTTTACATCTTCTTTAATTGAAGAATATATATAATCTAGCATATGTCATGGAATTTATCTTCCATTCAACTCATTCAAAAACCTTCCCTTAGTGTCTACTTACCATTGTGGTATCTTGATAATTTATCTGAATTTAAGCCCATTAAGCATCCGCTCCAAATAATTTACCACATAAATGAAGATTCAAAATCTAGTATAAAATGATTTGTTCTCATAATCAAAAGTATAGCCACTAATTCGATGCACTTTGCATATTAACTAGAGCTGCAGGCTCTTTTGTGACTAATGATGTTCAACATAACCAATAAATTGTGTCCATAATATAATATATGACAAATAACATAAAGTTACGAGTTAATTGTCAACAAATATGACAAATATAACGATGCATTATATAAAACATATAAATTGTCATCACGAATAGTTGATGGGCCCAATCAATTATCCTTGAACAATTTCTAAATATGTATGAAATGAATCTCAAGTTTCATTAGTAATAATCTCATAATAATCTTCTAATGAGAACAAGACTCTAGGATCTTCTGGTCCTAATAATAACAAAAACTTCTAGTCCTTCAGATAGTACTCACTTGAGTTTTAATGATTTTTTTATCACATCACAAACTAAATCGTGATAATTTAATTGGTTATGTTTAAAATAAAAATTAGTTCAGTAAACTTCTGGTTTATGTGAAAAACAAATCTTGATCGAGTGTCATGTAATATTCATTTCCACTTGTATCTTAAACATTAATAGAGACACCCTAAACAATAAGGGTTTGTCTATACCCAACAGAATATTCGTCAATGCAGGATAATAACTATTTTCTCAAAAACATTCAATATTTATGAGACTTTTATTACTTCTATTATGCAGCTCTTACTACGCAATGCTCTTCTGGAGCTATCTGTTAGTTTTGTATAACAAGAAAATTATATCTACACTAACTTCTTTTATCACAAGAGAAAAGAATCTCTTACATCTAAAAAATATAACATGTATACTCACTCCTTTGATTTTAATATATTTACTACATCATTCTTCAGGAATATTGATGAGGAATCATATATAGATTAGAATTAAGGTCTTGAAATATCAAAATGTGTCTTTATAATGAGATTTTTTTAACAAAAAATAAGCCACTTCAGGTGGTAATTAAATATTATAAGACCTTAGGTAGTGTCTCATATACCATATATTGTGTTTGATGAACATGATGACTCTTATTTAATTTAGGAGATTATACATCTTAAGAATTTCTTTTCAGAATTCAATATTCTTCAGGAATATTTAGATTCAAATAGTCAATATTTTAAAAAAAGTGTAATTCTATGTGACCATAATACTGACTTTGATGTGTCCATATGTATAACCACAATAGTTGTGATAGCGTATTATATTCATGTATGTCAATCAATTTTTCACTCGCTTCAGGGAATGAATATGTAACATGATTTTTTTTTCAAAAAAAAACCTTTCCTAACAATGGAAAAAATGCAACCAAATATGGGGTGTATGAATCTTTTTCTTACACTACCACTTTAGAGGAAATTAGATTCTCAAATACTATTTTGTAATTTCAAACCACATATAACATGCAATTACAAATATTTGTCACATAAATTTTATTGCAACGTAGCATAGCACATTAAAATATAATTTCATTGCATAAAGAGAAAATGCATTGAACAATTTATTGTTAAAAAAAATCATTAGACCATTTTGCTTCTGGAAAGTGGTAAATGCATTTAAAAAACTCTATTTCCTTATTCTCTTCTAGAGAATATGGACATTTAGAATAAATATCAAATTTGATTCACTCTGAGGACAAAACTTAACACTTTTGTAAAATATATCTATAGTGCCAAAAAAAATTATAAAGTGATTGTCCAAGATTTTGCTTTTATCAAAAATTAGCTAGGGAATCACATAGCATGAGTTGTGCAAACTTGGCAAATATAGAGTATTAAAATGCACATTTTAGTTTCCTTAGCATCAATCAACGAAGATAATCCATAATTTGCATATTTGAATGCATTTTTTTTCAACACAAAATATGAATGAAGCTACCATTTTACAATGATGCATATCCAAAGTAATAATGATCGTATTTACAATGATGTATATCCAAAGAAATAATAATCGTATTTACAATGACGCATATCCAAAGAAATCTAAATGCCATTTGTGTGTATGGTATCTTAATTTACATGTACACTTAACTCCTCATGTGATAAAACATGATAAAAGTTGATACTTCATTTGAAAATCCTCTTTTATAGGTCATGAACATATAAAACAACAAAATATTTATCACATTTGTGATCAAAAAATAAATATGTATTTTTTTCACATAAGCACATATGTCAATGTTTGTGTACAATCTTAACTTTAAAAAGCAACAATTCAAGATTTATGGGTATATTAGGATAACTATGTACAATTTCATGATAGGATAATCCATGATTGTAACTTTTTTTTTGTATGCAGCATGTAACTAAAAAAAATTACCAATCCCAACAAAAACAAAAGAAACAGATCTAGAATGAACATATGGTCCTGTCCATAACTTGCCTTACTGTAAGTTGCAATCAATTCATGAACAAGATCTACTAGTGGCACGTTGGTCTGATTTCAACGATTACACCCCAGCATCAGGGGCTCGAATCCCAGCTCCATTTTTGTCTCTTTTTTTTTAATTTTATTTTAAAAAAACATGTTTACAGTAAATTTGGTTTAGAAATTTGCTAATGAATTTTTTTTCCAATATATGTATTCACAAATCTATTTATAGGATGATTGAAATCAAATTCTTTCCCTTAAAAAGCGTCAAGTATAGAAAAACTCATAACACTTTTCAATCTCAAACAAATCATAATCTAGATCAAACAGGATATATTGTCATTCTTCACATCAATTTTAGGGATTCGGAATACCTGGATTTTGGGATAGAGAAATTGGAGAAGAAGATCAGGAATTTAGCTCTGCTCTATTCCTTTTCCGGTCAAAGAGCTTTGATTACGCCTTCCCACCGGCGGAGGTTTCGGCAAGAGGATAAGGTGATGGCGGCGAGGCTTCTGGACCGGTGGTGATCGAAATTTGAAAAAGAAGAGGAAGCCTACTCTGTTCATTTTCCTGCGATTAGGTTTCTTTTTGGCTAAAAGAAGAGGGAGCCTGCGATGGAGAACCTTAGACTCTGCGTCTCCGGGAAAAAGAAAGCCAAAAAAAAAATTAGGTTGGGACTATCGTGCTAATAACGTGTTGTGAACTGAATACTTTATTCATCATATGTCGGGGTATTTATACATACACAAGAAGGAGGTAAAGTCTAGGTAAACAAGGTAACCAGATATTCTAAATAATAAGAGTAATATATCTGCCATATTTAACAATTGGGTGTTAATAGTTTTTAGTATATAATCCAGTTTTTAGCATATATCACTAATAAGGTACACTTATGTTTTATTCTATATGAAAAACAACGAGAAAAGTGCATTGTTTACCTTTGAATTCTTTGAAAATTGCACGGTTTACCTCCGAACATTAAAAAGTGCACCAAATACCCTTAAATTCTTCAAAAATTGCACGATTTACCCCTGAACAATAAAAATTGCACCAAATATCCCAAAACTCTTCGAAAATTGTACTGTTTACTCCTGCACATTTAAATAAAGACGATAATTTTGGGGAAAAGTACTTTGGAAAATTCACAAGGGTCAGATTAATCATATTCGCAATTCTTGTGCGTGGAAGCAACGCACTCCCTATCTAATAGTATAGGACCAACGATGCAACGATTTAATTTGTTCAAGAGTATTTGGTGCATTTTTTAGTATGCAGGGGTAAATCGTGCAATTTTCGAAGAGTTCGAGGGTAAACGGTGCACTTTTTATAGTTTAGGGGTAAAACATTCAATTTCTAAAGAGTACGGGGGTAAACAATGCACTTTACTCGAAAAACAACACATCAAATATAATGAAATTTAGATTCTTTAGTGTACATAGTACTTCTTCCTAAGAAATAAGCTTTCAGAGATGGATTATTTTAGGATGCATGGAGTAGAATTGGTGTAATACTTACACATTAAAATGGTTCTTTTAACCTTGGAACCTCAGCGAAATGGGGAGGGAGGGGGGCTGGGGGTAGGGTTTAAGAGGGGATTAAGGGGGTAAGAGTCATCAATTTTACAAACCAAGCACCGTAGGTGCCGAGGTCGAAAGATCCTTGCCAATCTTACATTAATACAGTGGTATATGATTACCCCTCTTCTTATCAATTGCCCATTATATTAACAATCTACTTGAGTAAAAGGCAAAATATAATCAAGGCTCTAGTTATACTTGTGCTTGAATCATTGCTCATATCCACTTCATTCGAAGTTATTCCATGTTTTCATGTTAAGTACATTCATCTGATCTAGCCCATTTTCTACTTTTACTTCTTCTAATGTTCCCTCATCAAAATGTGTTCATGTGAGTCCTCAAACATACGGCTTCTGGGAACCATAATGGTGTAATGTATTTTCCTCCATGGGTTTTACTTCAACTTGCAAATCTGATGATTGAGGACTGACGGGAAGATCGATCACAGGTAATCCAAAAGGGTAATTTTTCAAGTTTATTGGTTTCTAGAATAGTGCTAGGTGACACCTCCTTCAAAGTCTAAAGTTGGGACTCATTCTGAACCTACAAAACTGAGTCCGTGCAGTGCCAATTGCCAAAGAGCTTCCAAAAACAATGTGTTTCCTGTTTGGAGAAGGTGAGCCACTCTCCATGTTATCTTGAACTTTGTAAATATGCCCTCTATCAGTAAGGGGATCTCCTGAAACTACCATCCAAACCGGACACATATCGAGGAGGGCTCGTGAACCTCCCATCCAAACGGACTATTTTTACAGCAATAATGTCGACGACCATACCAAACGGATGAAAATGGGTGGCGATGGAGTACACACCTGTAGTTATTATACTGCCAACTTTTCCCACCACATTCATCTTCTCCAACTAAGCTAAAAACTGAAGTCACACAAAAAATTGATTATCAATGCAGCTCTTAGCCTCTTACCAATTAAGGGAAGATATCTGCACCAAACATCAAGAATATAAAGATTAGTCACGACTCACACATTGATACAAAACTATGTGAACTAAATTGGCCAGTGGATTGATATGATACACCGCATCAGGCCTAAACCTATAATAACCCAATAAAGACTACTTTTCTAAGGAAAAGTCTTTCTACTATGAGAGTTTTAATGCTACATAAAATCTTGATCCTTATTCCTTAAGAATGGTTGCTAAAACATAAAAACGAATCCCTTCATCTTGTGCACCATAAATGTGGGAAGAAGTTGTTGGGATTTTAAGCGCGTAAGATACCGAAAAATATTGAGAACACCAGAAAAATGAGAGAACAAACACAAGAAAAATATATGAGAGAAAAAAAAAATTATATTTCCACTATTTCAGGACAATATACAAAAAACTCTCCCCTGTTTACAAGACTAAATTTCAGACACTCATAAACATATCTTTCTACATCCTATGCCCGGATGTATTTTTCCGAGTAACTAAAACCAGTTATTCCCTACACTCACCCACACTCACCAAGACCACTTGGATTTTTCCGGTGATATTCTTGTGTAGAACCCTCTTCATCTTCTCTCTCTACCTTGGTGTGTAAACTACACACACAAATACACCGTAGCCTCTCCATTTTAAAGGGCAAAGAGAACACAATTATTTGCCTCAATCAATTTGCTACAGGAGAGAACATAATCACATGCATACTTCCACTTTTTTAACTCCACTCATGGAGTACTTTTGCTTTCCCTTTGTCAGGATCCTTTTTTTTTCTTTTTGATTTTTCTTTTCTTTCTTTTTTTTCTTCTGATTAATTAACCAAATTTCCCAACAAACTCCACCTTGATTAAATAATCAAAAAAAACTTTGTAGCTCCACCTCACTTCTCCGGTGAGATCACTGCTACTCCGAAATAAGAAATATCCTTGGCGCCATCTCAATCTACTCCACCGAGATCACCGCTGCCAACCTCAAAAAAAAAAAAAAAAATCCTCGTGGCTCCACCTTGGTCCAACCACCAAGATCACTACCACGTTGAAAAAATTTTCTTGGGACCCCATCTTGCTCAAAACCGCAAGATCTCTGTCACCCTTTATTGCTTTTGTAGCTCCACCTTGTTCAATACCACAAGGTCCTTGCCGCTTCCAGTTTTCATTGTACCTGTGACTTCATCTCAACGAATCCCGTCAAGATCCCTGCCACTACCTTAGCTCCCTAGCTAGAGTTTTAACCCTCCACCCCGAGCTAAAAAAAAATTACAACTCACCTTTGTTAACACTCTCTGAGACCACACCTCTAGCAATTAGCTTCTTTCGATCTGCCCATCTTGCACCGCCGCAGTAACACCTGCGGAACACGCCGCCCGACCTCTTCTTGCCGGGAAGACTTTCGACACAAGACATAAACTGCAGTTTTCCACTCCGCTAGACCACTGATCTCCTCAAGTCCTGTTTCCGCACCATACTTCACAAAGCTAGCATGTCGCTTCGTACCCGGTCCTCATGCCATCCACTTTGTTCTTGAAGTCCCATGGTCGCCTTCTGGCCAAAACCGACCAGTCCCCGGGTTCTCAAAATTTCTCCTTTTACCGCTTACAAATCCCTCCTGCCCAGCGTAACCAAGCTCCGATACCAATTGTTGGGATTTTAACCCCGTAAGATACCGAAAAATATTGAGAACACCAGAAAAATGAGAGAACAAACACAAGAAAAATATATGAGAGAAAACAAATTATATTTCCACTATTTCAGGACAATATACAAAAAACTCTCCCCTGTTTACAAGACTAAATTTCAGACACTCATAAACAGATCTTTCTACATCCTATGCCCGGATGTATTTTTCCGAGTAACTAAAACCAGTTACTCTCTACACTCACCCACACTCACCAAGACCACTTGGATTTTTCCGGTGATATTCTTGTGTAGAACCCTCTTCATCTTCTCTCTCTACCTTGGTGTGTAAACCACACACACAAATACACCGTAGCCTCTCCATTTTAAAGGGCAAGGAGAACACAATTATTTGCCTCAATCAATTTGCTACAGGAGAGAACATAATCACATGCATACTTCCACTTTTTTAACTCCACTCATGGAGTACTTTTGCTTTCCCTTTGTCAGGATCCTTTTTTTTTCTTTTTGATTTTTCTTTTCTTTCTTTTTTTTTCTTTTGACTAATTAATCAAATTTCCCAACAGAAGTCCATAAATTTCATGATTTATGTCGGGGTTTTTTTTTAGTCAGTGGTCATAAAAGTGCTGCTCATTGACATATTACAGGTCTGCTAATCTGCTTCCAATTATAAATTTTGATCATGAAAGCAATAAGTGTAGCATAGAAGAAACACCTTGCCCAGCAATTCACATGATATAGGTGGTCTCGGATTTATTACATTTAACAACACCGAGGATGTATATGATGCATTTGATCGATATTGCTTGCTTAGGGAAGAGAATATAGGGGAAAATGTGTTCACTATGGCATTTAATTGCATGATGCTGAAATTTTAATTATTTATATTACCAAGAAATATGTTTAAATTAATCAATAAGAGTTTACGTTCCTCACATAACAGAAAGAAGACTAATAATCGGGACGGATCAAGTAAAAAAGTAACATATCCTGCATAGCTATAAAGTGATTTTCAACAACTATCCCCTTGTTACTTAATTCTATTATTATAACAATAAAACTTCAGCATATCATTGGGCATATGGAAAATATGGTTCAAAGTTGGAAATACGCAATTGCAATAGTGCGAACCTCAAAGGTCTCTTTTTATTCAGTGATCATTTGTGTACTCTTGAGTGTTGTTGTATGTGGAACCACTTTTCTGTGTTTTCATAAGGTAGATTCAAATGACATGGAACAATCATATAGGAACCCACAGAAAAGTATATAACGATTTGCATAAAATAAAAAATACATTACCTCACTCTTCTGCCTGGATTTTAAAATAGATTCTTCCAAAACCTTAGTTGCTGTGAAACTCTGCCAATCATCATGTGTAGCTTATATTTCAAATCTCCATCAAACAGTTGATTGGTATGTTAAACAGTGCGCAACAACAACAACAACCCAGTTAAATCCCACAAGAGTAGGGTCTGGGGAGGGTGTCTGTACGCAGACCTTGCCCCTACTCGAAAGTAGAGAGGCTGTTTCCAAAGAGACCCCCGGCTCAATGTCGAAAGTTGCATTGCTTGACTAACTGCTATTTCATTAATTAAAGAAGCGCAGACAGTTTAGAGATCTATTTTGATTTATTCCATCACACCTCAAAGCCAAAAAATGGTGAAATTTTGGCTTCATCTCCAATTTGTCTTGCATATCATACGCGCTCGCACCATATTGCCCCAAGATTTTCTCAGTCTCAACATCCAATACTATGAACCTCATACATCCCTTATCATCCTTAACCCCAATCTCGAGCCGATATTTGAAAATGCACAATGAAAGATATTATTATGCTACCATGCACTTGGCCATTTGTAAAACACATACAAACTTTTTTTTAAATAAAAAAGCGGATTTTTAAAATTTGATATCCCTTGTGTAGGTGATTAAGAACAATACTCAAGAATTAGTTACTAAAGCTTTTTCAGACCATAGTTTTGGGGACACTTGTTTAGGGTAACATCATTTATGATGTTCTGAAAATAGTAAATTTCAAAATTGTTTCATTTAAGATGTTTTTTAAACCTCTCTCTTAAAATTGCTTTCTACACGCACTGGTTTTCTTAACTTTTTGCCCCGCTGGGGGTATATATAATTGAGTAGGTATTCTTCAAGTGAAACTCTATATATCAAATGAAACTCTATATAAGGTACTAATGGACGTGAAGAAGAAAATATGGCTGAGCTTGTAGTCCTGATGTTTTTGTTGATCCTACCATAACATCTACAGTTGGTTTCCCGCAACTTTTGATTGTGGTCCTCCTCAACCGTTGGCAGTCTGTTACTCTTAACTTCCTGATGTTGTTGATCCTCCCGGCCGGATTGTCAAACACTGATTTTACGCAACCTCCCCGACCTTTTGCAGCTGACTATCCAAAACATTTTTCATGGGGAATTGTTTGCTTGCCGGCTTTCTCTAACAGCCACCTCCTTCTTAGGCCTTCTCCCATCTTTAACTGCAATGAAGATGATAATGCACCAATATTTTTTGTCCCTCTCAACAAACAGAAAGAATAAAATAGTATGAAAGATATTAACTAAAAGCTTGTTTTAGAGGGTCTGCTGCAATGTCAGCTCCATCTAAAATACCAATATGAGTAAATTTCAAGGTCATTCAAGACATTCCATTGCACAATAAAATGACTATGAAAGAGGTTAAAGAGTTACATCCAAATGGCTCTTGGCAGGATACCATGAAAGAGGTTAAAGGGTTATATCCAAATGGTTCTTAGCAGAATTTATTCAGGGGTGTGACCAGCATATTTCAACACCAAGGGGAGAGGCCAGAGTTGTTACCTTTCTTAGCAAAATTTATTCAGTCGTGTGCGTGATTCTCAAAGACAAGGTGGAGAGAAGATGTGTAAGAAATCAAACTCATTAACCGTTTAGAAAATAAAAATGTAGTGGCATAAAACTATGGAAACATAAGCACTAACAAGAAAACCATAGCAATAGATTATGGAAACAACCATATGTCCTCAAAAGTGTATGTATAGCTACTTTGCAGACATTATTAAAAAAAAAAGAGTAAACTATATTGACCCAGTTATCAACCCCACAAGCCAAACACTGCCTAAGATTTCACTCTTCACAACACCTAGGCAGAGCACCCCCAGAAGGCCAACACCAAGAACCTTGTTACCCACGATGAATTCCCCAGCATCACGCCACAATTTCTTGAACACCCGGAAAACTGAAGACATATGATTCTTGGTTGGACGATCCCCTTCTAGCACCTGTGGGAAAACCACCATGTACTTGAAGCCGTCAAAGAAATATAAATCTCTTGCAAAAATCCTCTTTCCCAATGAAGCTTCAAGCTCGTGGTATGAGATTAGGGGGCCAGGAAATCCTCCACCATCCGATAAGTGACCCGGGTCAATCACCTCTATATTTCGAGTACTCCATCTAGACATTGCGATTGTGATGTTACCTCTGTCATCAAACCCACAGGAGAACTGCATAATTGCTCCAAAGTCCAAACCAAACCGAGAAGTATTGATTGTGAGGAAAAGTTCAATCCCAGGACCTTAGGGTTCGATTGCAAGGAAGACGAAGAAGGAAAGTTGGAGCACGTATCAATTCGGCTGCAGCAAACGGTGAGAGAGAATGAATAGCGGGGGATATTTTATTTTATAAATATTTTATTAAATGATTATTAAAAAACATACGTAAACAAAAATTAATGTGATATCTTGAATAGTAAATAAGAATTGTTAAAAAATTAGAGCGAGTACAATCAGATGAGACTAGAATTAATTTTCTAAAAATTGGATAGGACATCAACCCGGACAAATCACTAGGTCAAGGGTAATACACCAAGGGGGTGTTTGTTTTTCTGCCAGAAGATTTTCTGGCGTCTTTTGTCTGCGCCGCGCAAACGTGCGCAGATGATGCGCTCTGCAGATTGTTTGTTTTCTGGAAGACATTTCACTCAAAAAGGTCTTCCTGGCATCTTCTTGGAGAAGATATTAACCAATGTCTTCTAACATCTTCTCCTTTTTTTTCTACTTCTCTTCACCACCACAACCGTCCACCGACACCGTCCACCACCACAACCGTCCACCGACACCGTCACCGTCCATCACCATCGTCGTCCACCACCACCGCCACCACCACCCTTCACCACCACCCTCCACCACCACCACAATCGTCCATACACCACCACCGTACACTACTACCATTAATTGATATAGCAATCTACAAAAATTAAAAAACAAACAGTCTTCTTCTTGCAGACCGCAGACCTTCGGTCCACCACTTCTCCTGCAGATGTCTACAGTAGTGGTCCGCAGACTGCAGACCTTTTCCTGCAGAAAAAACAAACACCTCCCAAGTATTACCCTATTTTTAAATACTCATACTTTTTAATATTTCAAACTTATGTTTAATTGATCGAAATGAGAAAAAATAAAAATAATTAAGTTCTAACATATTAAACTATAATTAGTAAATACTTAAGCGTATTACGGAGTATTTCATTTATAAAAATGCCAATGACCTTTCAAGTATAAACTAGATTCTAACCCGTGCAATGCACGGAAAAAAATTTTCTCTGTAATTTTAAAATAAAGTTTTGATAAATTACATTGTGTAAGAGTAATGAATGTAGTTATAAAAAGTAATACCGACTAAGACCCTAATAATGGTAATGACGACTGCCGCATAACTCAAACAAAGTTTGTGTTTTTTATTTTGGATAAAATTATTTGTATCCCAAAAATTTGTACTCCATTTTGTACACTGCAGGAATGTACCAACATTTTGTATTGGTCTAATGCTAATTTTTGTTAATGTACCAACACTTTGTGTCAGTGTAAAAATTTGTTAACACACTAACATTTTGTGTCATTGTGAACTGTCAAAATGTTAGTGTATATCTTTGGCGTACAAATGAGGTACAAATTTTGGGGTACATGTAACATTCTCATGACAAAACAAACCAACGAAAACTAAGAAATACTCCGTACGTAAATGAGAAATTATTTTGGATTAACCACAAACTAAAAGAAGTAAACAATACTCCGTAATTTTTACTCCAACATCAAAAAAATATTGTGTATGTGTGCTTTAGGCCCAGTTCCGTTCAACTTATTTTTTCTTATTTTTTCTTATTCTTATTAAAATCAGATCAGATCAGACCAGATCAGATCGAATCAGATCAGATCAGATCGAATCAGATCAGATCAGATCCAATCAGATCAGATCAGATCCAATCAGATCAGATCAAATCCAATCAGATCAGATCAGATCCAATCAGATCAGATCAGATCAAGACTTATTAAAATAAGATCTCATCAAGAATTATTATTATTATTATTATTATTATATTATTATTATTATTATATTATTATTATATTATTATTATTATTATTATTATTATTATTATTATTATTATTATGATCATCATCATCATCATCATCGTCATTATTATTATTATTATTATTATTATTATTATTATTATTATTATTATTATTGTTCTTAAAAATGAAAAAGAATAAACTTTAGAAAGTAATCCTTAATTATTAGACGTCGGAAAAATTAGTTTTAAAATACATTGACAATGTCAATCTAATTCTACTTTTAAAATATATTTTTATTGCTACTTGTAATTTGAGTTTCTAAACTTTTGATCTTTTATAAGGATGAGATATTTTAATAAAAATACTATCTCTTCTATATATTGATTATCTAAATTTAATTACTTTTAAATGTATATCTAAATTAAATATTTATTCCAATGTATAATTCTAATTTTACAAAAAAATTATCATAAAATAAAAAATATTATTACATTTTAACAAGTAGGGCGGATGATTGAATATTTGAATTAGACGAAAGAAGCGAGCACGCGATCGACATTAATCTAATTCGATTAAGTCCTCATTTATTTATTAAAAATAACATTTTAAAAATATTTTATCTAATAAGTGTCGTAGAATTATTTTTATATCAATTTCTGAAATCACTTCAATTGAATTTGAGACCGAAATTTATAAATTTTGAAGAAAATATAAATTTGTGGTACCCTAGTCCTACTAGCATAAATTTCTTTTTTTCTTTCTTTTCTTCTCCCCACTTCTCCCTCCCTCCCGATCGATCGCGTTTCCTCGTCTCATAAGTAAAATTAGAATCTGTGGAGGAAGAGTTTTGTTAGTGGTGGGGGCTCATAATGTCGATATCATACGGCGGCGGAGGCCTCGTGGGCAGCAGCAGCTTGCAAGGTGAATTTGGTTCTTCTCTGCCGTGTAAAAGTATTCTTTCATTAATCTGCGTGCAGTGGATTTGATTTCGCTGATTTTTTAGGCGATGCAAAATTAGATTGTTAGCGTTGAAAGACTCTATCTTTTAGGCGATGCAAAATTAGTTTATTTGATTGCTTATAGAGATGCTGAAGTTGATTTCCATTGATTTTGAGAAATTTATTAATTGCGTAATTGTAAAAATTTAGTCTTTGATTGCTCGTTGAGAAGAAAGACACCTGCTTTTCATTCTAAGAGACACCATTTTTTTGTAATCTACCTAATTTTTTCATCTGAGTTATCACAGAAGGAACTATAAGGATTAAGGAGGAGGAAGCAAAAGAGAGACTTATTGTTCTAACACGTAAAGGATAGGATATCCCTTTGTCTGTCATGTTTGTTTTTTTGGTCGACAGTCTTGTCTCGTTTTGTAGTAGAAGCAATAGATCATCTGTAAATGCTCCTCCTTTCACATCCATATATAATAAGAGTCACATTGTTGGGGTTATTAGGCGATATGATGTTTGGTTAGAAAGTACATCTCATTTGCATAATTTAACCTCTCAATTCATCTTGTAACAGGATCATGGTCTCAACCTCAGGTCCTTTTGCCATTACTAGCCGTGACTGGAATTGGACTCGGAATTGGAATTATTCTCTCATCTCGTAGAACAAGAAGAGTGAGTATTATCAAGTTACACATGTGATTTTAGTTGTCATGTTTCACCATTGCGACTCTTATGTTTTTCTTAAGCTCTGTTGCACTTTGTCTGAAAGGCTATTGCTTGTAATTTCACTAGGTCCCTAACGAGTACGGGGAGGACTTGATTGGTGAATTGCCAGAAGAACTCCTGTGTTTGATACTCTCCCAATTACCTACAAAAGATGCTGTTAGGACTAGCATTCTGTCTAAAAGATGGAGAAACCTCCATGTTTTTCTCCCCAAATTGTCGTTCAACTGTCCATGCACATTTATGGATACCACGAGTCCTTCAAACCTGCTTGATCGGTACAAGCGTGGAATCTTGACATGTATAGATCGTTTCATACGGCTACGACAACACGCTTGCTTCCGTGACCGGGACAAGCGTGGAATCTTGACATTTATAGATCGTTTCCTACAGTTACGGCACGGGTGCAATATTAAATCCTTCCAGCTATCATGTTGTTTAGGGGAAGAATTCAGCAGTCATATTGAGCGGTTGATGAATTATGTTGCTAGGTTAAACGTTGAGGAACTTGTGCTCCGGCTTTCTTGTGATATACCTGGAAGCACAAGAGGTCTGATTACATTTCCTTTGCATTTGTTTACGTGCACTCTGGAACCAAATTCCCAAGGAACATTTAAGTCCCTTTCGCTGCTTAGGCTAGACGCAGTCTCATTAGTTAAAGGTGAACTGCAAAGCATCTTCGCAGCCTGCCCAAAGCTTGAGTCTTTAGTGTTGAAATATTGTAGACTTCCATCTAAGTTATATATTGGCAGACCAGGACATGAGTTGAAATCTCTGTCAATCGCAAGTTGTGTCGGAGTAAAGAAGATAGAAGTGCGTGCTGGAAATTTGACTAGCTTGGAAATCATTAGCTCTAAAATTCTGGAAGAAAAGAGTCATCTACATGTTCCGAATCTGAAACATTTTTTTCATGGGTTAAAATACTCTGGTTATCTCTCTCATATTATACCTGAAGTTGCCAAGAGCACGCCTAAACTTGAGTCCTTATATATTGAATCACGGGTCAGGCAGGTATGTGTATATACATATTGTGTTTCTTTTGATATGTCCTTTTTTCTTGCTTTCATATTGTTTTCCCCCCAGCCCCCCCTCCCCAATATGCTACATACTGATGATTTGCTAATAGTTGCTTATTACACTTACTTTGGCAGATGTATTATGCCCCGTTAGGATGGCGTATGCTCCACAATCTTAGGGAAGTATATGTACTCATAGACTTTAGAGGGCTATATAGTGCTCAACAAATTGCTGATGTAATTGATTGCTCGCCACTTCTACGCAAATTCCATTTGGTGGTAAGTTAACTTAATCTATTACTGAGTAGTAGTATTTAGTTTATTCTTTGCAACAGACATAATTGAGTTATTATTTGTGCGTCCTTGTAGACAAAAGGTAGAGTAGACTATCGAGTACCAAGGTTTCACTTGAAACCAAGATATGATCACATCCATCTGAAAGAAGTGGAGGTTGGGGGATTTCATGGACACAAGAGCGAGATTGAGTTGATTAGATTTCTCCTTAGATTTGCCGTGCGTCTTGAGCATATGACTATCAGCAAGGAATATGAATATTATCTCGGAGGAGGGAAATGGGAGAAGAGCAGAAAACAAGTAATGAATGAGAAGCAACGTCAAGCAGTGCATCTTTTGTTGAAGGGAACAACAATTGCTTCTCCAAATGCTCAAGTTATTTTGCATTAGCAACAATGCGTGGTGCTACTAAGGGGCCGGGGTTCATTCTCCTTAGAATTGCTGAGCGCCTGGAGCTTTTTTATTTCACTGATTTTAAAAACATTAGATTATTGGCGATGTAAAAATTAAATCTTTTAGGCGATGCAACATTATTTTTGATTTCTTATAGAGATGCTTGATTTGCATTATAGATAAATTTTTATATACGGAGTATATACGAAGGGTCCCAAGATAGTAAACAAATGTACAATAGCCCACATGGATATGTGATTGTTTGTCTTGCCACTTGATCTCGTGTTTGTTTCCCCATCCAGTTTCGGTGTTTTGTCTTTTTTTTCTTCTTCTCCTGAGCCGATTTTCCAGCTACAAAATGGAATGGTCGGTGGATTGCCTCCGTTTTTTTGTTTTTTTTATTTATTTCTTCCTTTTATTCAAATCTCTTCTATTTATTTTGGTCCCAAACTTCCATGTTTATTTTCCGTTCTTGCAATTATTCTCAATGCGTCCAAATGACATCAAAATACCTCCAACACATATAAAACCAAGCATATGACACAACTGCAAAAATAAAATGGAAAAATAAATTAACATGTAAATATTAAACTAAACTGGGACACATGCTTTTTCTTTCATTGATAGAAATTCACTCTACATTCTGTATTTTTTGGACACGAAAGATCGACTCTGCAAGGTGATGTGAATACATTCCTACCGAAAGCTACTTCAATCACAAAGAAACCATTTTTTATCTTCCTAATTTTCTCAAAGAAGAAATATGTTACTATTCTATAACTTACTCCTCTAGAGACACTTCTTCTTCTTCTTCCTCTTCCTCTTCCTCTTCCTCTTCCTCTTCCTCTTCCTCTTCCTCTTCTTCTTCTTCTTCTTCTTCTTCTTCTTCTTCTTCTTCTTCTTCTTCTTCTTCTTCTTCTTCTTCTCTCTCCGTCAGCGCCTTGCATTTGCTCATCTCATCTCCTAATAGTATGGTAAAATTAGAATTTGTAGAGAATGACTTTTGAAGCAGAAAGAATTAATGGTTAGCTCATAATGTGGAGATCATATGGGGGGGCAACAGAAGCTTGCAAAGTGAAGTTAATTGGTTCTCTGCTGGGTCAAAGTGTTCTTCATTAATCTATACTGATTTTATTTCACTAATTTTTAAAAAGAAGATTATTGGTGTTATAAATGTTTAATCTTTTTGGCAATGCAACATTAATTTTTATTATTAGATTGCTTATAGAGATGTCGAAGTTGATTTCCATTGATTTTAAAAAACTATTTCTAGCTTAATCCATATTTTTAGGACACTATTACGTGAGGTGATGTGAATACACCCACTGAGAGCTGCGGCTTCATTCACAAAGAAACTGCTTTTTTTTCTAGCTAGTTTTATCATCTAAGTTATCAAAGAAGGAACTATAAGGACGAGGAGGCAAAAGAGAGACTTGTTATTCTAATAAGGAGACTTTTCGCGTTTAGTAGTAAAAAGAACAGATCATTTGAAATTTCCTCATTTCACGTCCATACATGATAACACTCTAAATTATAAGATAATATGAGACACATTATTGGATTGATCGGAGAAGTTTGGTTGGATATTATTTCTCTCCTAATTTCGAGACGAAGTCATGTGTTTAATACTCTCCTAATTACATACAAAAGATGCTGTTAAGAATTGTGTTTTGTCCGAAAGATGGAGAAACCTCTATGTACTAATTAATACAGGTAACCTCATTGCATGGGTGTGAACTAGCAAAATCATAAGAATCAAACGTCATAAGAAATAAACTTTGAAAGAAGATGGATAATGTCATTCACGACGATGGCAGTATCGCGAATTTCACTGCCAACATCTCGAATCGTCTTCATCAATTCTCTATATGCGGCCTTCCGGTCATCTCCCTCCCGGTGGCATAGCAAAGCTATGCCACCAATAGCAAAAAACACAGCAATCTGGAGTTTATATCTTTCAACAAACTCCTTAAGATACTTGAGCAAATCTGCACACACAATTTTACATGGTATTATATGTGTGTGTGTGTGTGTGTGTGTGTGTCTATATATATATATATATATATCCACAGTAAAGACCTACTTGGAATCTAAGCCCAACCAGAATGAAATGAAAGGACTAGTATATATAACTAAAATTATGTATATAAATGAGTATTACCTGCACCTAGAGGGGGTCGGCCCTCTGCATCACCACCGTCTCTGGCATCCTCCTGCGGTAAAATTAAAGTAACATCAATTCGTGATTTTTATATCCACATATTGAAACTACGGGGGATTATTTTTTAGGGCATTGAAACTACAGGTTAAAAACACATGTATGGTCAAATCAACTACTACTACCACCACCACCACCACTAGTCTACTACTATTACTATTACTACAACAACACATATAGGGTCAAATCAGAATGTTACCTTGAAGTCCTCCGGCATCTTTCTTTTACCTATATATGCATATGACGGTCATACGTTAACTATGGAGTAAGACTCGGTGCTAGAACAGTATGAAAATTCTATTAAGAAAACTACCTGAAATGAATAAAAGAAAGATTAAGACTGATATGCTCGCAAAGGTTTTCCCCGCCTCCGTCTCCGCATCTGTCTCCGCATCCACCTCTGAATAAGCACCATACAAACATATACTTTGTATAAGAAAATGACAACCATAGGTTTTTTGTACTAACACTCAAAATTGAAGCAAAGGTTACATTTACAGTGATACTTGAAAACACCTTTGCTAGTGCTGTCTTTGAGCAACCCAGAAAATCATTCAAGGACAACGAGAAATAGCAAAGTCCCCCGCCCCCCGTCCCTTCTCCTATTTCGAGTACTCTCAGTCCCCCCCCTTTAAGTTTAATGAGTATTTTATAATTGTTATGCATTCCCAAAACCCAAGTACAAAAGTTCCTAGAATAACATCAAATGTTTGACTCTTGTAAGAACACAGAAATTCCAGAAACGGTGGCACTCTGTTAGCAATGTAACCTTCTTAAAGATCTATGACAGTAGGTCTTAGAACTATCACAATGTCTTGCTTTCATTTTTAGTGAAAGTGAAACCGATTTACCCTGCATAATTAATAAAACTCACACAGGGACCCTAGTGGAAGTTAGAATTCCAAACCATTGCACTGAAATAATTTAAAACGATTGTATTGAAAAAAAAGTCCAACTTAGATACAATTTGTGAAAATTTATAACGTAGTGATTATTAATAAAATTTTTAAAACTTGTGGTGTCCTTGCTTCCTCTGTTAGCAATGGTGGCGCTCTTCGATAATTGTTGGGGAAGAGCACAACCCGTGGGCGAATGCCACCAAGTCCTGGAGTCACCAATATCACTAAATGACCACCCTATTGTCTCATAAGTGTCAATATCTGAGTAAATAAATGGGACTGCTTTTTAGATGGTGTAAGGGCAAGTGGGTAACAAAGTCAGGACTCAGAAAATCAAACCATGCAATCCACGCAGCGCATACAATCACTCTTTCACCTTAACTAATGGTGCATCATCCTGTTTCTAAACTAAAATAAAAAAAAGTGGAAAATAAAATATTGCAGTATGCCCACGAAGAACATTATTTATTGTTCCCTTTATATGGTTATATTTATTTTGGGCATGGATCATCATAGTTTTCAAAATTTGTCAAACCAAAATAAATTCAGAGCGGTGTTGGCATCTATAAGGTTAGATACCACATTATTCATTACAAAATATCTTTCACTTTGGTATAAGAAAAACTTTCGCTACAAAAGAAGTGCATAAAAGTTACAAAACTCTACACAAGATGAAACAGCAACAGAGTAAAGTGAAGTTCTAAAACCTTATTAAGAAAATATAGGCTGAACCTATTTCAATAGTATGAATGATGGCTTGAATAGTATACAAAACGCTATGGAAAGGAATCAAGTCTGATTCAAGCACAGTTCAAGGCCATCACCGAACAACTACAGTTACTCAACCACAGCAAATCGATACTCGGATATGGCGGATTGATTCCAGTCAACACACTCAGCTCCACCCATATGTCCGCGGAATCACATAATACAACTACTCACAACAGTAAGTCTATCTTCTCACCCTTCTCTAAGGTGGAATTTCCTAGATTTGATGGAACCAATCCTAGGGCTTGGATTCGTCGCACCAGTTGGTATTTTCAGATAATGTCCACTATCCCAGAGGAACACAAGGCTCCATTAGCGGCTGTGCATATGGATGGTGAAGCTGTTAACTGGTACCATGGACTTGTTGGAGAAGAAGGGTCGATTTCATGGGAGAAATTGATTGAACAGGTCTTGGTTAGATTTGATGAGATGGATCCAGAATTGATTGTGGCAGAGTTTCATGATTGTAAACAGATTACCACAGTTGCAGAATATATTAAGAAATTTGAAGAACTAAAGTCTGCTGTATCAATATTTCACAAGTTCGAAGAATCATATGTGTTGAAATGCTTTGTAACTAAGCTAAGAGAAGACATTAGAGGTTCTGTTCTCAATACCAAACCTACCTCACTTCAAGAGGCTTATGCAGTGGCAAAGAAGCATGAGGCTATGATTGAAGCTATCACAAAGAGGGCTAAGGTCGGCTTTAAGGGAGGAGGACTTACAGCTTTGCCAACGAAGGGGAACATAAACACTTCACCAACCGCCAAGGGTATTAACCTGACTGGCCTCTCCAAGAAACCTACTAGTAATACTACAACTACCAGGAAGCTTCTCACAGCCGAGGAATGAGAGCCCGTAGGGAGAAGAATCTATGTTACAATTGTGATGAAATGTTTACTCCAGATCACAGGTGCAAGTCTCGACAGATCTTCCTCATGATGACAGAGGAAGAAGACAACAACCTTTGTGAACATGATACCCTATTAGGGAAGGAAATAGAAGCTGAGGAAGAAAATTTCAACATATCATTGAATGCTTTAGCAGGACAAAATAGCCTTAATACATTGAGGGCCGAGGGGAAGGCTTACAATCAAGAGATCTACTTCATGATTGACAGTGGAAGTAGTCCTTGCTTTACCAATGAGCAGGCTTGCAAAAGGTTGGGGTGTGCTGTCCAGGATGCTAGGCCAATGGTGGTGAGTTTAGCTCATGGAGGGACCCTAATCAGTAAATCAATATGCCCGGATTTTACGTGGGAAGTTCAAGGAAACAGATTCTAGTTTCCATTTAGAGTGATTGCATTACAAGGATGCGAAATGGTAGTAGGAGGAGATTGGCTAAGAGGTTATACACCCATTTTATTTGATTACTCTAATCTGCAAATAACATTGGACTTCCATGGGAAGAAAAAATGATTATCAAAGCTGATGCGGAAAGAGGAGAGTTGAAGATTATGACCGTGCAATCAATGCAGAAGTTCCTTAGAAAGGGAGCCCGGATGATAGGTCAGCTCTTCTCTTTAGGTGTGGTAGAAGATACTCAGGTTATAGTAGAGGACTCCCTTCAATCCACGGTGAATGAATATTCAGATATATTCCAAGAACCCTCTGAATTACCACCCAGGAGGTTGATTGAACACCAAATAGAATTGAAGCTAGATTCAGAACAAAAAAGGCAGGCTCCTTACAGATACCCACATTCCCAAAAAAGTGAGATTGAAAAAATTGTTAGAGAACTCCTTGCTTCAGGAGTTATAAGGCCCATTACTAGTTCATTTGCATCTCCTGTATTGTTGGTAAAGAAAAAAGATGGAGGATGGAGGATGTGTGTGGATTATAGGTATGTCAATTCACTTACTCTCAAACATGCAGATCCAATACCAGTAATTGATGAATTGTTGGACGAATTGCTTGGGGCCAAGTTCTTCTCAAAAATTGATCTAAGATCTGGGTATTTTCAGATAAGAGTTAGGGATTCTGATATTCACAAAACCAGCTTTGTTACCCATCAAGGACATTATGAGTTCCTAGTAATGCCATTTGGGTTGTGCAACGCTCCTGCTACATTTCAAAGTCTTATGAATCATATTTTCTCTCCATATCTAAGGAAGTTTATCCTGATCTTCTTCGATGATATCTTAGTGTATAGTAAGACTTGGAATGATCACATTAACCATTTGACCTTAGTGATGTAGTTACTAAGGAAACATCAATTGTATGCTAAATCAAGTAAATGTAGCTTTGGAAAACAAAAGGTAGAATATCTTGGCCACATTATTTTAGCTCAAGGGGTAGCCACTGATCCAACAAAAATAGAGAGTATGGTGAACTGGCCAACACCTGGATCAGTGAAGGCATTGAGGGGATTTCTTGGCTTTACAGGATATTACAGAAAGTTCATTCAAGGGTATGGTTTAATAAGTAAACCATTGACAGATTTATTGAAGAAAGATTGCTTTAAGTGGACGGAATCTGCAACACACGCATTCAATGCTCTGAAGCAAGCCATGACTACAGCTCCAGTCTTGGCACTACCGGACTTCTCTATCCCATTTATTGTTGAAATAGATGCATTTTATAATGGGCTTGGGGCAGTTCTCACTCAAAAGGGGAGACCTATTGCATTCTTTAGTGGGTCATTGGGACCTAAAAACATGGGAAGGTCGATTTATGAAAAGGAATTCATGGCATTAATGGCAGCAGTGACTAAGTGGGGGCATTACCTTCAAGGTAACCATTTTGTCATCAAAACTGATCAGCACAGCCTCAAATATATTTTAGAGCAGAAGGTCACCTCAGTGTTGCAGCAGAACTGGGTGAGTAAACTGCTTGGAATGGACTATGAAATGCAATATAAAAGGGGGGTGGAAAATAAGGTGGCAGATGCTCTCTCTAGAAGAGAATCCGAAATTAATATGATGTATGCAGTTCAACCACTTTGGGTACGAGAAATTACAGATTCGTATGATGGAGATCTTGTAGCTACAGACATTCTGACAGCAAAAGCTGCAGATTCCAGAGAATTTCCTGCGTATTCTTTCACACGGGGAATACTTAAACTTAAAGACAAAATCTACATTGGTTCGTCATTGACAGGCTGACAAATAAAGGACATTTTATAACCGAATACTCCATAAGAAAAATTAAAATAGTGCTAGTTGAAAACTGATGAATACAAATACCAACTAAGAATACGAAAGCACCTTTGCTGGTGCTATCTTTGAGCAATCCAGAAAATCATTCAAGGACAACGAGAAATAGAAGGGGGGCAGCCACCCTCCCCCCCTTTCCCACCTTAATCTCTACCCCTATTTCAAGTACTCTTGGTCTTTCTCATGACCATGAATAAATATTGCTTTAAAAAAATAAATAGGAATGAGTGAGTGGAGCATCATATGTATGTTTTGGGAGGTATGAAGGACAAGAAAAATTACTACAATTTTCTCATCTAAAATTCTTCCCTTCCTCATCCCCTTTCTCTATTCTTTTGCTTTTTCCTTTTTGGTGAGATCTCTGATTATTACAGTCTTCCCATTTATGTATAATGAGTATTTTATATTTGTTAGAAGATGAAGATGAACCAGATATTTTGAAGAGAGAGAAAACATTAGAATTCATTCATTATTGATTGTCCCAAAATACAGGAAGGAGATAGCTAATATAGAAAACTTGATGCGAAAGAAAAGGGAGAGATACATCCCTACTTCTAACAGACTATATCAAAATTAATAACAAAATTAAGAAGATATTCCAACACCCCCCCTCAAGTTGGAGGGTGTTTGAACCCCCAACTTGGCTAGATGTTTGTGATGAAGAGAAGCAGGCAAACTCTTGGTGAACATGTCGGCGAGTTGATCAGAAGTAGAGATGTGACTGAGAGTGATCAAACCGTCTCGGAGCTTTTCGCGTACGAAGTGACAGTCAAGTTCAATATGTTTGGTGCGCTCGTGATAGACAGGATTAGTAGCTATATAAATGGCAGCTTTGCTGTCACATTTTACAGGAATAGGAACGATGTCAGGGACCTCAAAATCATGGAACAAACGAGACAACCAAGCTAATTCTGCAGTGACTCGGCGAAGGGAACGGTATTCTGCCTCTGCGGAACTAAGAGAAACCGTAGTTTGTTTCTTAGATTTCCAGGATACAGGGCTGCCACCAAGGAGGATGAAGAAGCCACTGACAGACCTCCTAGTGTTTGGGCAAGCTGCCCAATCTGAATCACAATAGGCCTGGAGCTTGAAAGATGAAGAATCATTGAAATATATCCCTTGAGAGGGTGAGGAATTGAGATACCTAAGGGTATGTTGAGCTGCTTCCCAATGAGGTACCCTTGGGTCTTGCATAAACTGACTAAGAAACTGAACTGCGTATGCAATGTCTGGCCTTGTGTGGGTAAGAAAATTGAGCTTTCCTACAAGACAACGATAGAGACTAGGGTCTGACAGAGGTAGACCTGTGTTTTGTCGCAGCTGCAAGTTAGTGTCCAGAGGAGAAGATGCAGAAGATGAAGAAGAGCATCCAAAAGATTTGAGAAGATCCATTGTAAATTTCTTCTGAGTGAGTATTAAACCATTGTTTTCATAGATGGCCTCCAAACCTAAAAAATAACCCAGAGTGCCAAGGTCCTTTATCTTGAAAACATCATCCAAAAACTGCTTAAGGCATGTGATCTCTTCAGAATTGTTCCCAGTAATGAGAATGTCATCCACATAAATGACTAAATGAACAACAGAAGAACCTGTCTTCTTGGAGAATAGTGAATAGTCATTTTTAGAAGAAGAATAGCCTTTGGATCTCAAAACCACACTTAGTTTGGCATACCATTGCCGGGAGGCTTGCTTGAGACCATACAAGGATTTCTTTAACCTGAGAACCAAATTTGGGCTGGCGAGAGGCATACCTAGTGGTGGTTTCATATAAATTTCTTCATGAAGATCTCCATGTAAGAAGGCGTTATTAATGTCCAATTGATAAACAGGTCAGTGGTGTTTAACAGCAACTGCAAGTAAAGCTCTAACAGTGGTTATCTTGACAACAGGAGAGAATGTCTCATGATAATCAATNGATCATACCAGCCATATGTGCAGAAAAGGCTTGAGAGTTTGCAGTGGAATTAGAAGCTTGTTGAATCATTCCTCCATGAAAGTTATTGAGAAGCCTCATGAGTTGATTGCACATCTCTGGACTGAACTGAGTTTCTGTTTTGGCTTCTTTGTTAGCATCAGATTCTTCATCATTGACAACATTTGCAACCATTTTTCTTCCTTTGGAAAACTTGAAATCCTTAGGAAAACCCACCAATCTATAACACTTACTGGCTGTATGACCCTTTTTCTTACAATAATCACAAATGATAAGTCTCTTATCCTCATTTCTGCCCTTAGTGAGATTTAGTGCATTCACATTCAGAGAAGCATGTTCTGGAACAAAGGGAGATGATGTCTGAATTTCTCTTTGCTTTTCTTCCTGGATAAGCATGCTATAGGCAACAGCAACAGTTGGTAAGGGCCTCATCAAGAGAATGTTTCCCCTGGTAATGTTGTAAGCAGAATTCAGTCCCATTAAGAACTGGATCAACCTTTGATCCTGTTCATATTTTATAATCTCTTGAACAGCTCCACAAGTGCATCGTGGTAGGCTACAAGCCAACCCTAACTCATCCCAGACCTTCTTCATCCTCGTGTAATAAGCAGAAATGTCAGAATTTCCTTGTGTGATTGAACATACCTCTTTCTGAAGCTGATATAACCTTGCTCCGTTTGATTGTCCAAAAAGATCATTGAGTTCATTCCAGAGCTCAACCACAGTAGAGGCGTATAATACACTTTCTCCAATCTCTTTACTCAGAGTGTTCAGAATCCAGGAAGTTACCATATCATTGCAACGTTGCCACGCATCAGCACGAAGTGAATTGTCATTTGGTTTCCTGACTCTTCCATTGATGAAGCCCAACTTGTTCTTCGCAGACAGAGCAATTTGCATAGACTTCTGCCAAGATCCGAAACCGTCGCCCTCAAACTTGTTCGAGATCAAAATCAGACCAGGATGATCCGAAGGATGCAGATAGAGGGGATCTGAAGAATGAATTTGGCCAGAATTTTCGGTTGCTGACGCCATTGAAGGAGACACGAAATACAAAGGGAGAAGAATTTTGACATTTTTGATACGTGCTCCAACTTTCCTTCTCTTTCTCTCCCATGCAATTATATAATTTGCGTTTGAATAAAAAACCAACATTGTATATCACTATATTTTCTCCAGTATTTGTCTACATTTAATTTTTTTCAATCAAAACTGGAAAATTTTGATTTCAAACTTTTAAAAAAATGATATTAAATATTGATACATAAATAATTTTATTAAATTTATTATTTCAAATAGTTTTAAAATATTATTTATCTAATTAATATATGATTTATATTTATTTAATTATGGAGACATAGCCGGTATGGGTTAGGGAAGGGCGTGGGCGTGGACAAAGCTCCGAGCAAGAAGCTAGGGCTTATTTTTGAACTTACTCAAAAATAACAAATGAAAAATGTACATGTAGTCTCTTGATTTAACAATTTAGTGGTAAAGTTTTGATTCGTTATTTTTAATTTTATTTTTTGAGAACCCATGTTGTACAATTTTTTTCAAAACGATTAGAATCAATTCGTGTTATACCAGTAAATGAATATAACTTATTTGTAAACTCATTTTCTATTCGA